ATAATTGTTGTTTATAATTTTTTTCCCCTTTTTTCTTATTTTTACCGTATTTAATACTATTTCACATCCAATTGAATTTGCATAATTTTCCCTGATCGCTCGAAGATGTTCGTTTAATCTTATTTTTAATTTCCTTTTTGTTTCACCAATATATGTTTTTTCTGGGTTACAATTGCAGTTAAAGGAATATACTACTACTTTTTCTTCTGTTATATCATGTTTTTCTGTGTGTTTCTATAACATGTGTGTTTTTTAGTTGTATTTACTTTTTCCAGAATTGAATAGTAAAATTAATTTAATACTTTTTAATCCTTTCAAACAACTTTGGGATATACTTTATTTTGACAAAACTTTTTTCATTATTTATTAATTTTGATTGTTTATCATTATTTAGTTTTTCAATCCATTTATTCAACAAATTTTTTGGGTAATCATTTAAAATGAACGTTTTGATTATTTCTTCTTTTTTTCTGGGTTTCAGTTTCACTTGTTCTGTCTTTTTTTTCCATATACATTTTAAATATATTACATTTAACTATAAATCTGTTATTCCAATTAATATGAATTGTTTTTGGAATTTGTATAGGTTTAACATTTTTTATAAATTGATATAACAATGAGAAAATAGAATAAATTTAGATAATTAATGCTATTATTTTTTTCTTTTTCTATTTCAAATTTAATATTTTCTTTTATCTCGTTAGCTTTTTTAATAATTATGTTTTCATTTGTTTTTCTTTTATCAAAAATTATAATACAGTCATCCACATACCTGCTATAAAATTCTATGCCTTCTATATTTCTAATTTGTTCATCTATTTGTATCATTGATATTTCCGCCAGTTCTGGACCTATGCAATTACCCATAGGTATTCCATTCATTTGGGTACAGAATTTATTGTCAAACTGAAAGTAATTATTTTTAATTATAATTAAACACAATTTAATTATCCAAATAGGTGTTTTTATTCTTATTAAAGATTTTTCTTATTTTGTACAGGCACAATGAAGTGACGTTTTTCTCAAGACTGGGCTAGTTGAATCTTTTATTCTAACTAAATAAAATAAAAGATTCAACTAGCCCAGTGTTGAGAAAAACGTCACTTCATTGTGCCTGTACAAAATAAGCAAATACAACACGGTTTCGACAACATCAAAGATTTTTCTATAAGTTCTATTGTAATACTAGGATACATGTTTACAATATCAAGTGATATTAAATTCATATGTTTATTAACTGTAATATTTTGTAATTTTTTTAAACAATTCGTCTACATTTTTAATACTATATTTAAATTAAATTTATTAGAAGCATCTGTCTTTTATATATATTACAATTTGGAAAAATATTTAATTTTTAACATCTATTAAAGGTCCATATTTAACAGGATTTTTGTGTGTTTTTACCCTTATGTTAAACTTTGGTGTTCTATTGTCTTCTCTTTTTATATATTTGATGTCTTCTTCTGTTATGAGTTGTTTTTTTAAGTTTTTCAATTCTTTTCACCAAAAATTTTATTAGTTGATTCACTGGATCTTTATTAAGTTGTTTAAAGGACTAATCAATGATGGAAATTATAATCACTTCTTTTACGGAACTTATAATCACTTTTTTCACTTATTTTTTCTTCTTTCTTCATTATTATCTGTTTCGTTTTGTCACCTTGAAGTATTTCTACATTATTATTACTTAAAAATGTTTTAACATTGTTTATTTGTCTATTATAATTATTAATTTTATTATTTGTTTTTATTTTTTGCATACCTGTTCTTATTTGTTCTTTCTTCTGGAAATTTCCATAACAAATGTTCCATGATTGCAGCAAAATCTTCACTTTTCATTATTTCTGGGTCATTGTATTTCATTCCTATTTTTATTGCTGGCTTTTTTTTTGTATGACAAATTATTTTTTTAGTTTGTTTCTCCACAAATTACATGTTTCTCTTAACAGTGCTCCTTACAGCACATATGTGCTACACATGGAAATATCCTCCATGCATTATTTTTGAACAACTGTGTATATACAGGTATTTCATTTGAAAGTAACGACAACATAGAGCAGTGATGACACTAGTTTGTTCTCCAACCATCAAAAGATAGGAACAGTTTTACAAAAGTTATAAAGGAGCATGGAAGTAAAAGAACATTTAAGTTTGCCTTAGAGAGAGAGATATAAATAGAAACAAGTAATTATTTATTGTGACATTGTCAAAATGCTGGGCTGCAATATTTAATTTAAAATATATGCTCTCCATTTCAAATTAATAGTGGCTTGCCACTATACATCGTACTTTTCCATTAACAATAGAGTTATGCCGATCATCTATCTAACACCTTTCAGAGGAAAATTTTTGAATTGAAATAACATGACTTCTAGTTTGCTTTGTAAGTTCGTATATAGTTAATTGGGACCTTGTGTCCCTAAGATTTCCATAGCTGGTCTTGTCTTTCGTCTATCTAACTCCATTCTTGAGATTAAAGAAAGACAAACTGGTGACAGTGGTAATTAATAGGTCTACAAGTTTTTAAAATCATAGCCCAATAAAATATTGATTCATTAGGTAGAAGAATTTGGAAAGGGAATTTGATAGCAGACTGTGAAATATTTATGTCATTATTTCCATTCTTTTTATAAACCATACAAGTTTATAAAAAAGGAATATGAAATAGTTAGATGATCTAAAAAACAAGATAGAAAAGAGGAAATACAAGTAACTAGAGACATATAATGTAGTATTCTTAGAGGAACAAGAAAGTATGAAGAGGAGATGTGTGAGATATGAAGAGAACTCTAAGGGTTAGGTTGACTGAACATGAAGAAGATTGTAAGAAAGGCAGCATAATTACAACACTTAGAGCAAGCCTTGAGTTGAGAAAAGAAGTAGAAGTCAAATAGAAACAGGCAGGAACTTTAGAATAAATAAGGAAAATCAAAGATATAACATGTGAAGATCTGTAGAAGAAAAGTAGTCTTTTAATAAGACCAAAAACAATTATTATTGAATACTATTTTTCAACTTAAAAGGTTGTGAGTATATTTGCTGAGAAAGGCAGTCATTTGTAATTAATAAGAGACATGTCTATTTTAACACCAGCATAGAAATGGATCATAGAAAAAGGAAAGATTTAAAGAGAAGATTATAAAGTTAGGGAAAGATAGGAATTATTATTGAATTTAATAATAATGATGATAAATTATTTAAAAATATAAATAGGATGGAACAGTCTAGCAGGTGATGTATATGATTTTTGCTTATGTTAATTGTTAAATCAAAAGTTTTCAAATTTGAATTAGAAACATTTTATTTGAAGATGATCTAAAAGGCTTGAAAGTATTAGTGGCATCATTTGTGTGTTATTTATGATATCATATTCTCCAATAAAACAAAGATGAAATTCTCTATAATGCTAGTTATTTGTGTTCTTGTTTATGCCATTATCATTTGTATTTCATATGTTTGTAATATGTAATTTAATAACTTATGCAAAGATGATTCATTTTAAAAGCATTTTTCATAACTTCCAGGTGCAGTTCCAAAAAAGTGATTTCCAATATGAATCACCATTACCATATATCTATTTTTTTGAAGTGCTCTGGATAGAGAATAAATAACCTAAAAGTTTACTCCATTCATGGAGTGATTTTTAAATTTGATTTTAAAGATTTATAAGTTCCAACAGGGACTTATAAATACAGGGTGTCCCAAAAAAAAATTGTACACTTACAGCCAGTAACTCACTAAATTTTATTCTTTTCAAGTGTAACTGATTTGAAATATTGACTAAAATAAGACTAAACTTTGAGAAAGGAAAATTTTTCCATAAGTGCTACTGGAAATGCAAGAATGTAAGTGAGCTTCAAGGATAATTTAGAAGAATTTCAGGGTGATCCATCAATGCAACTCACTATTGCTCAACTTAGAGATGAATTTGAAGCAGATGGAACCATTCAAGACATGTTCTGGAAAATGGCAAATGTCTATGACCTCCACAAGAGAAAATGAGCTACAAGAAACTTACTGTGAATTTCCAAGAAAATCAGTTTGACAGGTGAAAAAAATGCAATTGATGCTTGAATTGAAATTTCTAATTTTGTTTAGAAAAGTTTTACTCCACCATTTGCCTGACTGGAAAGTTGAATTTTATGGATGGTATACCTAGCAAAATGTGCATAGAACAGTTTCCAAACAAAATTGTTTGGAATGGTGAGGCCACATTTATGTTAAATGGCTCAATTAAATGCCACAACTGCAGCTATTGGGCAATTAAGAATCCACTTGTTATGATGGAATGTGAACTTACCAGGTGTTAGTGTGATATGGATTATCAGCATTGTCTTTATTAGGTTGTTATTCTTTGACAAATAAATGTCACTGGTGCTATTTATTTGAACTTGCTACAGGAATCTATCATGCTACTCATTCAAAAGAAATTTAATAATGAGAGGAAGTCTTATTTTCATAAAGATGGAGCATCTTTCCATACTATTGTGAAGTGAGGGCCTATCTTGGCAAAAATCTGCCAAACAGATGGATTGGGCAAAAAGTCTTATTAAATGATTTCTGCATTCACCAGATCTTACACCAATGAACTTTATCCTTAATATTTCCTCATAAAAAAGTTTATGGCAACGAATTGAAAGTGAATGCATCTGAATACCAAATGAAATTATTCATAATGTTTGTAATTCCATTGGTTGTGTTATCAGTAGTGCCTGGACCCCAAAATAATCAACAGTTTGAACACTTGCAATAACAAAGATTCTGCATTTGTCTTCTCTAATTTGGATTATAAAACTTTGAATAATTATAAATACATCTAGTGTGTGTACATTTTTTTGGGATACACTGTACATAGAAAAGAAAGATATTATCTTAGTTATTTTTTAATGAAATGTTCTAAGCCTGATATTCATTTGTATATTTTTACTGTAATAAACTTATTCTGAATAATCTCTCATTCAAATAATTAATTTTTTGTTATTAATCTAATCTTTCAGGATGTTATGGTTGTTGGGGAACCATCTCTAATGGGAGGAGAATTTGGCGATGAAGATGAAAGACTAATTACACGTTTAGAAAACACTCAATATGATGCTTCAGCAGCAGCAGCCAATGGATTAGACGAAGAAGAATTTACAAATCCGCCAATGTCATCTGTAACGAGTACTGCTTCGGCACCACAGTCCTCGTCTTGGTCGGGACCACCAACCAGTGGGCCTCAGACTGCCGAACACAGTACCTCCAGTTCCGGAGGTCCAGGATCCGTTCCACCGCCAACAACACAGGAAGATAAAAAGTCTTCTCCATCTATAAGCCAATAAATAAAAGAATATTCTATAAAGAATCGTAATATGTATATATATATATTTGCGTATATATACTGCATATATTCTCAAATTTATGTATATATATAGTATATATACAGAACGTGTGTGTTTTATTTTCTCATCCTTCCCATTCAGATTATTTTATTGGGGATTGTGATCACATCATTGCATTTAACATTTTCATCATATGTTCGATGGATTTTGATACAGACCACATTCCAGGGACATTCTTACAAAAAAAATCTTCTGATTTTGTTTATTATATTATTGTTTTTATTTTATTTTTTTACCTTTAAAGAGCATTTTATTTGAATTGTTTCTACCAAAGTTATTTTAACTCTTTGAGAACCAATCAAAGACAAATTTATTAATTGTTTAAATGAGTCTTTAGAAGTGCATGTCTCATTTAATATTTATTTAAAAACAACAAACTTATTCTCAATAACAGTTTGTTGTTATTAAATACAGAGAGACATGAATTTTGTACTCAGTTGCAAGACTTTTGAATGGAGAATAGTTTTCAGAGAGTTAAAATTAGAAAATAATCTCAACCTTATCTGTTATTTCTATTTGTGATCAATAAACAGTATTAAAGTTTTCTGAGATTATAAAAATAATTCTTTTTAAGAAACCAAAGTTTGCAAAAAAGTTCCTCTGTGATTTTTAGATGTTTTATTACTTTAAATTTATTATCTTTAATTCTTTTTTTTTGTATGTTTGTTACAAAGTGAAAAAGGGGTATATGTGGTTACAAGAAAGTCAGGGAATATAAAAAATAAGAACAAGCCACAATGTAAAATAAATGCAGCCAATATCATTTAAAATCTTTTTTCCTTTTAAAAAAAACGAATTTATCTAGAATTAGATAAATTTAACTGTTAAAAACTGCTTTATGTAGAATTTTATTCAAAAAAGTTCTAATTATTAAGAATGTACTGTTAATTTTAAGTTTTTAAATAATTGACTACTATTTTTTAAATATAAAATTTGTCATAAATTCAACATTAGTTACTTTATTTTTAATTGACTGATTTACAAATTATTCAAGTTAAAACTGTTGTATTTTTATGTATTTTGTATTGTAATTATAATAGAATTAAGAATGGTTTGTTTATATAGAAATATTTTACTTTATATTTGAATAAACAATCCAATACATAAAGCAAAAAAGAAAAAAAAAACATTCCTCTCACTAAGCTTAACACAACAAAAGTATTGAAATCTAATTTTATTAAAACAAAAATCGGTGATATTACAAAAAGGGGAATGATTGTCTAGTTGTCCTTTCTTGTATAGTTTGACGGATGCGATAAAAAATTATAGATGTTTGTAAACGGTTCAAAGGAAGTTTGTCCTGTATTAATGCAGATGTTGAAATAAAAGAATCCTTCAATCGTTTCATATATTTCTCTATATATCTATTTTCAAGCACATGTGAATTTAATGATATAATTTCCTCTGTATTAGTTTTGAAATTAGATAATTTAAATACTTTATCAGTAGACTTTCAAATAAGTTGGCACCTAATGTAAGCCAAGAATTGAATGATTTTAGTATCACTTTGACAAATAATTCGATTGCACTAACCAAAATCATTTTTAACTTTAATTACAGATTAAAAATGACTTTGTTTTAGCATGTTAATTTACAAATATTAAAAATTGATGCTTCCAAATATTGATAAAAATTTTTAAAAATTTGTGAAAGTATCTTTGGATAAATATTTTCTTCTGTTGGATGTTGACTCTAGGTCTTTCATCCTGTCATTTCTCATTTAACTACATTCATTTTAATTTCTGGCTTTCTTTTTTAAATTAAAATTGGCTTATTTTAAAGCTAAAAATTAAGTATATAGAGAATTTGATAATAAGTAATAAATTGTAATTCTAGTACAACAACAAAGCCAATAAGTCAATTTTTTGTTTAGCCTGGTTTTAATAAAATTCAATTTTTAAAATCATTCATTTGCATAAAGGTTAAAAAATTTAATATAATTTATTTTAACAATTAGTATTCAACAATTACAAAAATTATTTACATAAAAACAATTACAAGAAACTTTAACAATTAATAATAAAGTAAAAGATTTAGTCATAAAATTATTTTATCCACAATAAATATTCAGCATTGGAAGAAAGGCTACATAAATTATATAGTGTGATAAAATGCCCAAAATATTGCATATTCTCCAAGATACAAATATAATAACATATTAATAAATTATTCAGTATTTTGGATTGAACTAAATAATCATACATATTAGAATCACTATTTTAATAAAAGAATCCTTTATTAAATCCAGTTTAGAGTCTTTGATCTTATAAAATGCTTAAATGACAAAATGATAAAATTTACTTAAACTATATTATGCAATTCTAAGTATATATACAATATATTAATCAATAAGTAAGTCTATATCAACAATTAACATAAAAGAAATGTTATTCTGTGATTTTTTTCCAACTTGAAATTTGCCCACTTTCTAATGAAAAAGACATACCCAAAAATTTGGAAAAATACACATCCCAAAAACAGTGAATCCTGTTTTAAATGAAGATATCTATAGTAAATATTTCAGGAAGTTGATCTGAATTTGGAGTTTAAATATATATAAATAGTGAAATAATCAAGAACATATTACAATTATCAAACTACTTTAGTAGTATAACACAGCACTGTGCAATTCCAATTTTTGATCAATGAACAGATATGAGGATATGTTGAACAGTTCTATGCTCAAAGAAATATAGCCAATAAACTGATCAGAATCTGCAAAATCATTTTATATTCATTAAGGGCAAAACAGTTCATATATCAGTATTAGACACTCCCTATAAATCAACACAGTATTGCTCTAAAGAATGCTAATCACATTTTTATAGTCACTGCTGATTATGAAAATATTGAAGAAATATGATTCCAACAAGAGGGTAATAACAGTCAATTGCAAGACAATCCACAACACTTCAAGAAAATTTTCTAAATCACATGATGTCATAAAATAGGAATACTTCTTGGCATCTGCAATCTTTTGATCTTACAACTTCTGATTTTTCCTCTCAGTCTCCTCTACAAAAATGTAGAGAGATAAACCAAGTATATAGTTCTATAGACAACATTTAGATTGTGATATGTCAGAAGTTCTGTAAAAGGTCATGGAAAGTGTATGTTCTGAACATATGACAACAGAGGTCATTTGTAAATTTTATTTTTTACAACTAAATCTTCATACTATAGATTTTCATTAAATAACAACTTTGTATTGGAATTTAAAATTTTCCATAAAAATTATAAAACAAGTAGATTCACTAGTTTTGGGGGTACCAATTTAAAAAGTTCTCTTTAAATACCATAAATAATATTACTTCATATATAATGACAATTTAAAATGTCAGATATTGATTCTAATCCTTAAGACAATGATTATTTTAAAAGGTAATTATAAAAAAATAAAGTGTTTTAACTTTTATATCTGCATGAAGACTAGTGTGAAACTTTAGAAAGTAACTGGAGAATGTAAGAATGAAAATTTCATTCATTTGCATAATTTTGAGCATAGTTCACATAAGGCAATCTTATTAATATTTTTTTTTTTTTTATAAAAGTAAAGTTGTGGATGGAAGTATAGCAGTTTAAATGAAATATTTTATGTAGTGATTGCATTACAGGTACTTTGAATACTGATATATTAAAATATCAGCCAATTTTTTAGTAACAAAATTCTAGCATTGAAGACTATGAAGATCAGTTTGCTAGCATTTTGATGTTAAGATTGGCTGTCAATGTATCAGTTTGTGATACATTTTTTACAGTAATAATAAACTTGCTATATTACTAGAAAACACCATAGGCAGAAAAAACTTTTGAAGATTTCTAATGAATTGTTTTTCTATTATTATTAATAAAACTTCATTTTCATAGTGAAAAATTACCTTGAAAAATGTTGCAAAAAACCAAGTTATCTGTTGTTAAAACTTCATGCTAGCTAGACAGGAAAGTATATTATTACTGGTGATACATTGCTATAATAAGTTAAAAAATATAATTAGAATTCCAACTTATTACAGCCAGATGGCCATGAAATGAACAGATCACTTTCCACAATGAAAATTCTGGGTTCAAGCAAATTAAATTTTGTGATTTTTCATTGTTAGTTTTCACATAATTTTGTTCCCATCTCAAATTTATACTGGCAAATTACTGTGAGCAAATTTCTTGTAAATGTGGATGGGCAAAGACAAAAAAAAATAATATACAGTAGAACCTTGATTATCCGGATGGTTCAAAATAAACAAAAGTTTTACGAATTTGCTGATTTGCACTTGGCGAATTATGACCCTGTTATTTATGTTATTATTGTATGTACATGATGGAATGCATAACTTTTTTTGTTCCATCAAAACTTTTTAATACATTTTGCATTGTAATAAAAATATAACTTGACATACATATTTATAAATAATTTATATTCAAATTACATAATTTCTATGGCCAAGACCAACATGGGCCACGCCTATGGCCTCGCGGTCCGAGGGGCCTCGCGCCTCGAAGGTTTATGCATTACTTAAAAGCCATGAACGCGACGAAAAAATTTTACTCATCGTAAAACAATAAATAGTTTGTCAAATTTTTATTCATAAAAATGCAGTTTTAATTGCTTTTTATTTTATAAAATATGTCTTCTTGCACAGAGGGTCTTTGAACAATAGGCAGTCTGTTAGTACTGGTCAGTAGTAGTCCAAATTCAATACGAACGTTTGTTTCTTGAAAATTTGATCACAATTTAAATATAGTATTTATTTTTAATATTACCAATATGTCATTGAAAAGAAAACATGTTGTATTATCATTAAAAGACAAATTGGATATAATCAATGCTTTGAAATGCGGTGAGTCTGGATGTTCTTTATCTAATAAATATGGTGTTGGAATGTCAACGATCTCATATATAAAAAAACAAAGTGAAAAAAATTATGAAATTTACTAATTGTTTAATGTCAGAAGATGACACCAGAGTATAAAGTTATGAAAAAATCAGGAAATGAAGAAGTTGAAGAGTGTGTTTATGTGGTTCATACAAAAACGATAATCTGGACAGCCAATAACTGGTCCATTATTGTGTGAAAAAGCAATATTTTTCAGTACAAGATTAAATGGAGATCCCACCTTCAAAGCAAGTTTGGGCTGGCTTGAAAAATTCAAAGGATGACATGGTATCAGGGAACTTGAAGTTCATGGGAAAAGCTTTCTCCTGACATACCTTCAGCAAACACTTTCATTGACACATTGAAGGTGTTTGTGGGGAAGGAAGGATTTGATGAAGAATTTATTTACAGTGCTGACGAGACCAGTTTAAATTGGAAGAAACTACCCAACAAATCTTTAGCATCAAGGCATGAAAATATTGCACCAGGGTACAAAACTAGTAAGAACGTGTCACCATTATGATGTGTGCCAATGCAGCAGGCAGACACAGACTCCCACTGCTTGTCATTGGGAAATTGAAAGAACCCCAGATGCTTTAAAAATATCAGAAGTTTTCTGGTTGAATATGACCATCAGAAAAAAGCCTGGATGAATGGAAAAATTTTTAAACGATAGTACAAAAAGCAATTCATTCCAGAAGTGAAAAAATATCAAAACTTCACAGATAAAAGAGGAAAAACATTATTATTACTAGACAATGCACCGTCCCACCCATCTATAGAATGTTTAAACCAGATCGATGAAATGTTTATGGTAAAATTTCTTCCACCAAATGTCACATCAGGGTGTGATAGAAACA